CAGTCCGTCCACCGTGATGACCACTTATTAGACTCGTGTCACCGTTGCGCATCTTGTCACGTCCCGGCGCGCTCCTTGATCACCCGCACATCCTTCAACGACCCCCACTCGCCCTGCCATGGAAACACAGAACAGACACAGGCGATGCAACAAACACACGTGTTGATCAGCACAAGCCCTTCTTAGATCCCGGCGCGCTCCTTGATCACCCGCACCTCCTTCAACGGCCCCCACTCGCCCTGCCATGGAAACACAGAACAGACACACGCGATGCAACAAACACACGTGTTGATCAGCACAAGCCCTTCTTAGATCCCGGCGCGAAGTCGAGTATCGCAGAGTTGAGTTCGTCTGGCTATTCTGCTTTGCGCAGAATCCGAGTTGATGCGAAGAGACCAATGCCAGGTCACTGAAGTGCATATGTACATACTAACCAGCATTCCCAGCGTGTCTACATTCCCAGCATGTGTGCAGTGTAAGTGACAAGGGTCAAATGATGTTGGTAATTTTCAAGTTTTCATCACAAGTTTGGCAGCGGACTAAACATTTTGCTTAGAGCCTGTCCCTGTGTGTGTGGCGAGGAATCGTTTCACACTGTTGTTACCCGTCACTGTGGAGAGGGAATGACACAAGTGTTATGCACTACTACTACCCGTCTCTCACGCTCAACGTCGCTTACAAGGTCAGTCCGCTAGAGGGCTATGCGGTCAATTTGGTTTGTGCGATCTACGGGACTGTGAAGAGTCTCGTGTGTTTGGCGCTTGTTGGATTGTGTGTGTGGCGCAGGCAGTTTGCGGGCATGCGATCCGGTATAGTGGCGCTCTGGCGGATTGTAAACCTAGCGACACTCACGTCTCGTGGGTGTGGCGCCTGTCGGATTGTAAGCCACTGTTACCTCTCGCCTGCGCTCAACTTCGCATCACTATGCGCTACTTCCTCCCTGAACCCCCACCCCATCTTTTCCCGCCTCTGTTCCCTCCCCCGTGCCCTCTCCGTCCCCTTGTCTTCCACCCTGTCTTCTCTTCCATGCGCAGGACTACTATCGCATTCTCTTTGCCCCGTCTGAACTTCTCACAAAGCCTCCCGCCTCCGTGCCCTCTCCGTCCCCTTGTCTTCCACCCTGTCTTCTCTTCCGCCTGCATTCTCCTCGCCCCGTCTCACCTTCTCACAGTATCCCCCTTCCCCTCTCCCCCCTCCTTCCTCACTCCCACCTTTGTTCCTACCCCAAACCCCACGTTTTCGACCCCCCGGATTTCCTGTGTCCGTTCATGGCAGTCTTGCCATCCGATGCGGTTGATATCGTACTCGCTTTGAGCCACATCTCCTTAAAGGCATAGGTATATTTGATCGTTTGGCCCTTCGTGTGTACACTCATAGCATGTGCATGTACATCTGCATGCGGATGCGTGTGCACATTTGCATGCGCATATGTGTGCTCGCGTGCTTGTGCACGTGCAAATGCACATGTTACAATGGGCGTGCTTGTGCAGGTGCAAATGCGTCCTACCTCTATACCATGTTACTGGTGCTGGTGTGGAGCAAAACGAGTGCCATTACAATATCTATATGTACCAGTATTATAGTGATACAAATATACACACAAAAAACTTGGTCACACTGGCTACTAACTAACACACTATACACACGCATCACAAACAGCTTCTGGATCTGATGCTCAGGGTGCATCATATTTTAGTGTTTTGATTTTTTATTCACCCCTCTACGCTACGCTATAGCGCACCCATTCTCTCCTGCCTGTGTACTATTGACAAACCAACCCCTCAGCGCACCCATATCAAAATAGTTGGTGAAGATAACAACATAATAACCTTGAGGTGCAGCCAACATTCCATTTATCAATGCCTTATACGTCCCCGGAACTGTGCCAGCGATTTCGTACATGTACTTGCCAACCACATTAGTGTCCGGGTCCGTGCGATTGGTCGACGTGGCGCCGCGGTTCACCAGGGTGAGTGGCACGTTCAAGCCTTGGAGGATGGTAACCATGTCGGGCCCCTCAGAGTCGCTCGTATTCATGCTGACGTGGTAACGAATGTCGTAGTCGTTCGTGGTGGTGTTCCTAGTAAGGGGGTGGTTGTAAGGAGGGGCACAGAGGGGAATGAGAGGGATGCAATTTGAAACCAACGCGGTAACCAATGTCGTAGTCGTCAGTGGTAGTGTTTCTGAGAGGGTGGGTGGCAAAGAGGGGCAAGGAGTGGCCATAACGGGTGAATTATGGACAGAGGACGAACAGGTGTGTATGGTGGAAGCGGGTTGCAATATGAAATTGGGAAAAGTGATGGAGGGTGAGTAGAGTGAGTGGAGAGGGGGAGGGGGGGAGGAGTGAGGGGAGAGGGGGAGGGTGGGAGGAGTGACGGGAGATCAGGAGAGGGTGTGAGAGTGGGGAGAGCAGGAGAGGGTGTGAAAGAGTGGAGGTGCGAAAAGCAGGAACAGTGAGAGAGCTGGAGAACAAGAGAAGGGACAAGAGAACGAGCAAGGGAATGGAGGAGGGAATGGAGGAGAGGCTTACAGGAAGGCGGCGATAGAAACGCAGCCTGAGCCGTACATGTCCCTAGGGACCCTGGGGTTGACATTATCGCCCGAAAGTCTAGTCCCCACCACCCCTGAGCGAACACGAGAGTGATGTCAACGGAGAGGGTGGGGGGTGGGGGAGAGCTGGTGAGAGCGCGGGAGTGATGGATGGGGGAGTGATGGTGAGGGTGGCGGAGTGATGGTGAGGGTGGCGGAGTGATGGTGAGGGTGGGGGAGTCATGGTGAGGGTGGGGGAGTGATGGTGAGGGTGGGGGAGTGATGGTGAGGGTGGGGGAGTGATTGTGAGGGTGGTGGAGTGATAGTGAGGGTGGCGGAGTGATGGTGAGGGTGGGGGAGTCATGGTGAGGGTGGCGGAGTGATAGTGAGGGTTGCGGAGAGTTGGTGAGAGTTGAATTGAATGCAAGGGGGCGGGTCGAGGAGGAGAGGTGGAATGGTGAAGAAGGAGGAGGAAAAGAGACAGAATCAGTGAGAGCGAGAGAGAAACGGTTTTGTATATTGCGCAGCTGAAAATGTAAACGAGTGTCAAAGGGTTCTCACCAACTAGAACGAGTGTCTCGTTCTTGTCTCCCTCCTTCCCACCAGGAGTCGGCGGAAGAGGATCATTCTTAAACTGCCCCCTCGCTGCTCCCGCCGCAAAAGAATTTGTCGTGAATCCCCCATAATACCCGCTCGCTGCCGATCTCATCGCGTCCAGCAGATTCTTGATCGTCTGGCGCTTAATCGAGGACGGTAGCGTACTCGCTTTAAGCCACATCCCTTTCAAGGAATATTTGTATGTTGGTTGGTGCACAACAGTTTTATTATTCCACTTAGATTTGGCGCCCGCAATATTGATGAAGGAGGATCCCGCCTTGCCCTCCGCGCCTTGCGCGATGTAGGCGGTGGTCGGCGCGCCCGGTTTGGAGGTGGCCACGAGCGCATGGTAGAAGACGTTGTAATCTCCGTTTAGCCTGACGGATTCGATCAGTCAGGGTTCGCACAAAAGAGCCAGGGAGTAAATGGGGTTCGCATTGCTGGAAAGCATTGCTTGATGAAAGCACCGTGCTTTTAACAGAGACCGCTCAAAAGACCAGCGGGGACTGCGGAAAAAACGGGCCGGAAATCGTTACTTGAGATCCTATTACGAAAACGAAAAGCGACGATGAGGCATCACTGGGTGTGATGCCACAGCCGGGAAAGTAATGGAAAAGTCACTTTGGGAGAACCTTCGGCGAACAATTTTGAGTGGCATTTCCTTCACGGCGGTGGTGGCAGTTGGCTTACTTGAAGATGACGAGGCAGATTCGACCGCTGGCGCCTTTGTCGCCTGTAAACCCAACCATTTCAAATCCCTTGAGCCTGGCGGCGAGAATAGCTGCGCGGATAGAGAAGGGAGATAAGTGGCAGACAATTTGAAATCGTGTCGACGCAACGCCGAGGATTACAGAAGCGCAAAGAGGAGAAGAAATGGGGGACCCACTGGGTATAGTATTACACTGGGTCCCTGTGCGTAGCTGCGCCGGGAGCTGTGAAGAAGCTTTGCTCAAGCACGTCACGTGGACGCCAATATTCGCGAAATTTTCTCCTCCCTGTACTCACCCGTCAAATTTCCGAGAGTCGCAGCTGTTTCGGGATTGGGCAACGGGCACGGGGCCGCGCCAACGGTCTTCGCATTCCCGGGCGCTGCCGCGGTTACTGCTGCGCATGGAAGCAAGCAGATGAAAGATGGACTTTCAGAAAGCTGCCATCTTTGTAGGAAACTGCTCGTGAGCTTTTGCCGCTTTGTAGGTACTGGACATTCGAGGTAATTCGCGTCACTCACAGACATATTCGGTGACGATCAAGAGAAGAATGAACACTCCAAGGTAACGTTGGAACCCCATCGCGGACTGGAAACCTAGCTCGATTGCGCCAACAACTTTTTGGCTCGCTGACGAGTTGGAAACACTACTTGAATGCCCTTTTGCAGAAGTGAGCAGCTGAGCAGCATTTTATGCTAACAAGAACTTGAGGGGGATGATAATTCGACATGAGGGCGTTTCGAAGCCTTTCAGTACAATGCCGCTGTGGAATGAAGCTTAAAGAACGATATGCATCGGTTCCGGGACTTTCAAGTTGAATGCTCTTGATTTCAAGATTTGCGCGCTGCGGGTTACTTTGGTGAATGCGCTGTTGGCAGCGCTTACCTATGAACGCACTTGGCGGGGTACCTGGAGGGAATACCGTGGTTGAGGAGGGGTAAGACTGTAGCAAGGCGCACTTTCAAAATGGGAAAAGCTTCAGGTATTTCAAACGGTACTCACCTGCCCAGCGCTTAGGCAAAAATGAATGAATATGAATACAAGCCGAGGGTTCGATCTCAGGTCTAAATGCCGGACTTACAGGTAATCGGGCTCCTTGCATGAACAACGTAACAAATCCTTGTACCCGAATCCTCCTGATGCATCACCGCAAAGCACGGGAAACTTTCAGCATCCATTCCAGGTGATGATGACTCCAATCTCCTTGGAGCATTTGAGCGCGTCGTGTGCTCTGCACAGGCTTCTGTTGTCGTCGTCAGCGCAGGTGCCGCTGCCAAAGCTGCAACCAAAGAAGGATACCGTGAATTGGAGACGGTGTATACCAGAATTGCTATGCCTTGTAATTAAAAAGTGCTGGATAAATGTTCAACGTAGAGTGAAACGTTCTCGTTACATAATCATCGCATCGCATAACACACGATTTGACATCTCTACAAGGTATTACTGATGACTTTTTGTTGATCAATGCACTTCTAATATGCCGAGTGATGATTACAAATGGTGTTTATCGTTTCCGTAAACATGGTCTACCTGTAAGTGTTGAACATTGGAAAGTGCTGGTGGGAGGGCATTTGTTGGCTGGTTGGGTGATGTTAGTGAGGGGTGGCTCGCTAGCAAATCAAACGCCAATTGTGCATGCATAATGATATCTGAAACCAAAACGAGTGATGAAATTACAAATGATTATACGTGTACAACAAGGCAACAGGTCACTCACCATATCAAACAGATGCGGTTCCGGGCTTTGACCGACAATTTGGCCGGCTCTTCACCAGCACACTTGGTGATACTCGCGAAAGTGCCTAAGTCAGACTGTTCCGAAATAAACCGGCAACTCTCACAAAATTGCTGGACAGCGCATTACGCTCATACGGATTGGGGTAGATGAGAGCAGTGTAGGCGTCAGGAGCAACCAGCATGGCATTCACCAGCCGCATATACGTCCGACCGATATCTGCCCACAAAGTACTGGCACTTAGCCAAGTGCCGGTGATTTCGTAGGTGTAGCCGAGGGAAGCGGGGGGTGAGGGAGGCGGCTGCTTGTCCAGCTCAGCGCGTTCGGACTCCGAGAGTGTGCGATTGGTCCACTCGGTGTTGTAGCGGGCCACAGTGAGTGCCACGTCAGCGCCTTTCTTGATGAGAACAGAGAAGGGCTTGACAGGTTGGGATAAAGACACGTTGACGTGGTAGTGAATGTCACAGTCGTTAGTTGTGGGGTTGCTGGGGTGGGGTAGGGGAGGGGGGGGGAGGGGCGGGAGGGTGGTAAGGAGGGGCGGGGAGGGGTGAGGTGTCGGTTAGAGGCACGGTGGCGTGGAAACGAATGTTGTAGTCGTTGGCTATGGTGTTGCTGAGAGGGTACGTGGTAAGGAGGGGCAGGGAGGGGCAGGAGGGGTAGGGAGGGAAATAAGAACAGAAAGTGCGCAAAGAGGAGAAGAAATGGGGAACCCACTGGGTATAGTATTACACTGGGTCCCTGTGCGTAGCTGCGCCGGGAGCTATGAAGAAGCTTTGCTCAAGCACGTCACGTGGACGCCAATATTGGCGTCACCCTAAACCCTAAACTCGAAATTTTCTCCTCCCTGTTCTCACCCGTCAAATTTCCGAGAGTCGCAACTGTTTCGGGATTGGGCAACGGGCACGGGGCCGTGCCAACGGTCTTCGCATTCTCGGGCGCTGCCGCGGTTGCCGCTGCGCATGGAAGCAAGCAGATGAAAGATGGACTTTCAGAACTCTACAAAATTTGATGCCTCCGAAACCATGCACGAGGGCCACCTTGCCCCACCCATGCCCCGCCAACCTTGCCAATGCAATGTATGGACACACATGATACAATGGTGGGGAATGGTTGGGACTGATAAAACACAACTCACGCACTGTCAACCTATCTTACCACCTCCACGTTGTATCCAACCCCTTGCGCAGAGAATGTCCCCAGAGCTGTCAACCAACCAGACGATCGCGTCAATTTGTACTCCCTGTAGTGTTTCTCAGGAAGTTGCTCACAGGCTGCCGAATTCCAAAACGGCAAACAGAAAATCGAAAGAAAAACATCAAAATTACGTCTCTCAAGCGGAAACAAAACAGATAGGCAAGCAAACTTAAAATCTCAGAGCAGCTACTCATAAAAACGGCCCAGTCGACTTTACCAGGGCAAAGAGCCCACTTGCATGTTCATGCCCGCATCCACCACTACTCCATCCCACAATCATCCAATCAGATTTGCAAACACGCGCATGCTCAAAATCCGTGGCATGTCCAGAGATATATGGGTATCTAGGCTTAGCGGGGCTCCTCGCGGCAACGCGCAGCCCACTTGTTCAAAAACCAGCGAGTGGGGTGTTCAAACGACTGCACCATGTGCACGGTCTTCTGAATTGCATCAATGGGCACCACGTGGTACCCGTTGTCGAACACTGCAGGGTGCATGACCATGCAGCCCGTGCCCTCGTCGGTGGCCTGCGGGATCCAGCGCCGAACAAAGGCCACCGCACGGTCCTCATCGTCTTCGTCGGCGCACGCGAACGCCACGGACAGGAGGAGATGGACGCGGCCGTGCAGGGTCTCCCCTTGCTCGTCCTCGAACTCGACGAACGAGAACGTCGCCTCGCCATGCAGGACCGGCACTGCATGCACATAGTGCGGCTTGACGATGCTGTGGTCGAGCTCACGGGGAGGGATAGCCAGCGCCGTGTGCACCTGCTCGGGAAGGAGGGGAGTCACATGCACAGTACCACACTCAGAACCACACATGACTTGGTACGACATACGCAGCACCCCCAAGGCAGGGGGGGCTCTGGTTAGGGGGTCACATGCATCGCCGAGTAATAACGGCGGATGAGTCGCAACGTCTTCCGTCAGTGCTGCACGGTCAGCGAGCCGTATTTGTTTCCCAACGGCTGGGCGCTTCACGCAAAGCACGATTCGTTTTGCCCATACTCGTGTGCCTCACGTCCGCATCATGCAATCGCGGCCGCGTGCGGAGGCAACGACAGCCACGCCACCTGCTGCTGCTGGAGGAAGTGCTCCGCGACGTGACCCGGGTCCGTCAACGCCTACGGTGCTAGTGCCTGACCCGGACGCTCTCTTGTCCGAATTGCGGGCGAAGTGCCGCGACATATGGCAGCGACGATTCCCGTGGCTGGTGATTTCGCAGCGCAACGACGGAAAGCCGTGCATGAAGTGCACGATCTACACAACATATGGGCCTCCTAACTGGCAGTAGGGGAAGAACGGGCAAGGGGGAATCGACATCTAGAAGCAAACCATGCGCAAACATGGTTTGTCCCGGAAGCACCAGGACGCCCTCAACAGGAAGGAGCGCGCAGGAGGTGGGAAGGTTTGTCAGCGCGGTATTGACGAGTATGAGGATGAGGCTGGTGAAGTGGCGCGGCTGAAACAACTTCTTCTAGTTGTTTTATTCATTTGCAAGTCGGATGTTCCCATCGCTTTGTTTGTTGGGCTTGTGTTGTTGCTTCAACTGCTCAAGACGCCCAACATTCCGAACAAGGCGCTTGGGAATTACCAGTCAGAGTAAGTCCTTTATGATCGTGGGTTATGATTCACTGAATCCATGACGACTTTACTAATTCTTACTGTTTTTTACGTGCATCTATGGATTTCGGCAGATGACAGAGGCCTTGACGAAGCACCTCAAGGCTTGGCAGATGCAGTACATCATCGAGTCACCCTTCTTGGGTATTCAGCTGGACGAGTCTACTGATAGGCTGCGCGGGAAGCATATGATCGTGTACTTGAGCTTCCTCAAGGAGGCGAAGGTGGTGTGCGAGTTCTTCGGTCATCTCACTGTGGAGAAGTGCAACGCGTCATCTTTACTCGCCGTGCTTCTCGCACATCTGGAGAGCACTGGAGTGGATATCCGTAAGATCTCGGGCATCAGTACTGGCGGCGCGAATGTGATGACCGCAAAAAACAACGGGATCTGCGTTCAGCTGCGGTTGCGCATTCCGCATCTTGTGGCAACTCATTGCGTCGCTCACCAGTGAGTATTATTGGTTAAACAAGCATGTGCCCTTCCACATTGAATACCCACGTAGACCCCTCACTGTTCTGTTTGTTGTGTTGTGCAGAGAGGCGCTGGCAGCTAAAGACGCTGCAACTATCGTCCCCGACTTCAACATCGCCGACAAGGTCATGCGTTCAGTGGCGAGCCTCATCGGGAACAGCTCCGTCGTCCACCATCGCTTTCTCGAGCTTCTGCACGCGACGCAGCTGGAGATGCAGGGTATCAAGGACGTGCGATGGCTCTCGCGTGGAGATGCCATTGATCGCTTTGTGGTCGTCCTTCCCGCGGCGATCGTGTTACTGCATGAGCAAGATAAGGTTGCGTATCACATGGTGACAAGGTTGAAGTTTCACTTCTTCTTGTACTTCATTGCTGACGTCCTCAAGGAGTTGAACGACCTCAACAGAAAATTTCAGAGGCGCGCGTTGAGTTAAGGTATTTGTTATTTTGTGAGGTTGTCTTCCTTGGACCTGTACAATCGGTTGTGCTAACGTCAAGTACTTCACCTTGTTCCAGGTGGACGTCACTCGAGTGTCGGGGATGGTGGAGAACACATGCGCGAAGCTGACGGCGCGCTACGTGGAGTACGGCGTAAATTTTGCAGAGGACAGCGACCGTCTCACTGCGTTCCTGGAAGAACGCGCGCATCCCTCCCGCTGTGAAGTCAAAGTGGAGGGGATGGACAGCGAAGGCAACGCCGTCACTCACATCTTCCAGTTGCATGAACTGCCAATCCCAGGCATGGACTCACCACCGTCTGGAGTCGTGTGTGTGTCTTGCCACCAAGTTAGCGCAGGAAGTGATTGGCCGCCTCAAGTTCCGGTTTAAGAGCTTGGCGACCATGGTTGGCTCCAAGCTTTTTTTGCCCGACGCCTATCCAGGTGGTGTTGCCAAGCGGATCGCATCACTGGGGAGTGGTTCCGCTCCCTTCGCACGCTCTTCAACGGCGATAAATGTGCTTTGCCTGGTACGCATCTGCCTTGCCGCTAAACTCTCTACGTGTTGATTTTGTAACTGTGGATTTGTACATATTTGACCACTGTGAGCACTGACTGCTTGTTTGGTTTCCTTGTGCCTGCTAGGTGTCAGCTGGAAGAAGGCCGAACGGGAACTGCCGCGCTTCACACAGATGATGTACGCGCAATACAAGGATCAGACTTTCCACGGAGGCCTCAAGAACATGCTGCGAAGCGGTGACTAGGAGACGTCGTACCCGAACCTCGTCCGCTTGTGGATGGCCGTCGCTGTCTTACCGCTCAGCACAGTGGAGTGCGAGCGTGGTTTCTGTCAGAATGTGTTATTTGTTTAGTCTGCAGTGGGGTACTCTATGGTGAGTACAACCCAACTAGGGTTTGCTTTCTCTTCTCTCTTTCCTGTTTCTAGTTTATGACTAGCATTTCCGACATGCTATCAGAGCAGGTCGACCCTCCTGGGTCGATCTTGTGGGTGGTCCCCACCGGCTTCCGCTGCTGTACTCTGTGTCGCGCGCCCCGTGGTGCGCGACGTTTTTTCTTCCCGCCACGCGCTCGGGGCGCGTGGCGGTTTTCCTGCCCGCCACACGCTCGGGGTGTGTGGCGGTTTCCTACCCGCCGCGCACCCTGGGCGCGCGCGGCGGTTTTCTGCTCGGCGCGCCGCCCCATAGAGCAACGTGCGGCCCTCGTGCAGTCGGCGCGCAGCCCCGTAGAGCCGCGCGCTGCCCCCTGTGCACCCGACGCGCCGCCCCATGGAGCCGTGCGCGGCCCCCCGTGCACCCGACGCGACGCCCCATGGGACCCGCGCGCCGCCCCGTGGGACCCGCGCGCCGCCCCCGCGGACCTGCGCGCCGCCCCGTGGGACCCGCGCGCCGCCCCGTGGGACCCGTGCGCCGCCCGAGTTCGCTTCCCGCACACCTGTGCTCGCTTCGCGCACACCCTGCTATGGGGGTGGCTGGCATGGGGGTGGCGGGTGTGTGAGCCGTACCCTGCTCCTCCTCCTCCTCCGTCTCACACTGCTGCAGCTGCCGCTGAGGGGGGTGGGTGTGTGGGAGCTGAGGGAGTGATGCTAGGGGGGTGGCGTATGAGCAGTGCTAGAGGTACAGCAGGGGGTGTGTGAAAGGGGTGTGGGACAGCTGGGAGAAGTTGAGTGGAGGCAGCCGTCTTGTCGTCCGCAGCGCCTGTAGTCCGGGGTTTAGCCTGGTAGCCCAGAGAGCCAACTGTGCTTGTCGCCGTGTAGTCCGGGGCTCTGCGCCTGGTAGCGACAGTGCTGCGCACTCCTGGGAGCACAAAGAGCCAGCTGCGCCTGTCGCCGTGTAGTCCGGGGCTCTGTGCCTGGTAGCCACAGTGTGGCCGTGTAGTCCAGGGCTCTGCGCCTGGTAGCCACAGTGCTGCGCGCTCCTGTTGCCCGTGTGTCTGCAGCTTCAGCCGTCACCTCCCATCTTCTCGCCCCCACAGTTTCTCCTCCTCCTCACTTGCCCTCTGTGATAGCCTCTAGCTTTACTTATCATTGTGAACTATTGCTCTGCCTGCTTGTTGTGCTGATTATACCCCACGTTGACTATGGGGGTGTGTCAGGATGTGTTATTTGTCTAGTCTGCAGTGGGGTACTCTATAGTGAGTACATCCCAACTAGGGTTTGCTTTCTCTTCTCTCTTTCCTGTTTCTAGTTTCTGACTAGCATTTCCGACAGTTTCAGTCGCCAGAACGTCATCAAGTCCTGGGTTTGTGGCAACTTGTGTGACGCCAGGCTTGCTGATCTCATGTGCATCTCTCTCCTGCAATACGAGCCAGACTGGGACGATGTAGTGAAGCTGTGGCGAGGCGCAAAGCAGCGGCGCCCTGCCAAGGAAGTCAGTGGTGTGGCTAAGGGCTACAAGCGCAAGGGGCTGGCGGAAGAAGCAGATGAAGCACCAGAGACAGAGGCAGCCGAGAAGGCATACCCTGCTATGAAGAAGCGATGTAAGAGGGACAAGCTTCCAGAAAGTGATAGTGAAGATGATGGCCTAGATGCTCGTGCAACCCTTACCCTGACCACTGATTCTGACAGTGAGTAGAGAAGCTAAAATATGGTGCTCAGAAAGTAGTAGGCTAGGCCTAGACCTGACTGCACTAGAGTAGAGTTTTGTTGATAACATGAAGTAGGCTTTTTTAAAAAGTCTGATTTAGAAGAGGCAAATGATTACATCTGATGTACAAGTTACCGAAAAAACAAAAAAAAAGTCTGATGCAGAAGACGGGCGCGAAGGGCCCGTCTGATGTATCAAGCGGGTTCTGGCACTAGGAATCCTGGGGTGGGCCAACCAAACTTCTTTTGGGCACCGATGCTGTATACAGCGCATTGGGCGTTTTTATGAAGTTTCCTGGCTAACGTGATTTGTTGCACAACTTCTAAAGAACTAGTGATATAACCAGCGGTGTTTGGTGTTCGCAAATGCCGAGAAGTAGAGGTCCAAGGCATTGAGTACACGTGGCTGTTACTATGGTAAGTGTTGGTGGGAAATGTTGTAAGTGCTGGAAGCAGGGTCTTGCGAGCTGTGGGTGTGACAAGGGAGGCTGTTAGTGAGCTAATCTATCAGTAACGTAACATGCACTAATAAGGCAAAAAGCCAGCACCATCAATGTCTGCGACAAGTATTTAAAACAAGCCTTTGTACAAAGGCCATACGGGTACCATACCCTTGCTCCCATTACGTAGATGATCCCCGTTTGGTGGTGCTGGATGAGGTTGAGTAGGGTAAGGATACACTCAGACCTCGCTCAATGGCCTCTCAGGTAAGTCCGAACGGCCAATTTGACGGACAACTTGCCAGCCCGATCACCACCACCCGTGGTGACATTCGCGAACGCACCGCTCGCAGCACCGTTCTCGTACGTCGTGGTGTAGACAAGAGCAGAGTAAGCGTCAGGCGCAGTCAGCATGGCATCCGCCAGCTCCTTGTACGTCTGCCCGTTATCCGCCGTCAAGGTACTGGCGCTTAGCCAAGTGCCGGTGGTTTCGTAGTTGTAGCCGAGGGGAGGGGGAGGGGGAGGCGGCTGCTTGCCCTTCCTGCCCTTAGGAGACAGTTTCCCGCCCAGCTTGGCGCGCTCGGCGTCTGAGAGCGTGCGATTGGTCCACTTGGCGTCGCTGGTGGTCACGGTGAGTGCCACGTCAGCGCCTTTCTTGATGACGACACCAGTGGGCTCCCCAGAGTCGTTCAGATTGACGCGGACGTGGTAATAAATGTCGTAGTCGTTGGTTGTGGCGTTTCTACCGAGGGTGTTGGCAGAGAGGGGCAGGGAGGGGCAGGGAGGGACGGGTGTTTGGTCATGGAACAGGTGATGCTACACGTACGGTGAGGTTGAGTGATTAAGGAATGACCGGAGGGGAGAAGTGTATTGAAGAACTGAGGAAAATGAGACGAGAGTCGAGAGACGAGAGAAGGGAGAAGGGAGAAGGGAGAAAAGGGAAGAGAGAAGGCTAAGCTTACAAGAAGATGACGATGTTAACGCAGCCCGTCTATTTATGAGGCGCCTCAAAAAGAGACGTGAGTAGTGACTCACTAAAATGTTCTGACCCAAAAGGGGCCCCCAGGTGACTTCCGGGCAATATTCGGGACATCTCGGTTCATGTCCCAAAAGTTACTTTTGGACTGACACTTTAGGCTAGTTAGAGGTCAGAATTGGTAACCCAAAAGTGACTTTCGGGTCAGGTTCGGGTCAGTTCCGGGTCAGGTACGGGTCAAAATTTGGCGGGAATAGTCAGGTACGGGTCAGACAGTCTGACCCAAAAGTGACTTTTAGGGCAGATTTAGGACACACGTGTCTAGCACACAATCCCCCGAAACCCCGTCATTGAGTGCGCCGGTTCCCGTTACATGTCTAACGATTCTCGGAGAAAAGTGCAGGGAGAAGGGGAAACTTACAAGAAGATGACGAGGTCAACGCAGCCCGTGGCGTTGACGTCAGCTTGGAGGTCAACGCTAGAGCCGTTGACCCGCGCTGCGACCGCACCTGCACGAAGTCGCGGAACCACGGAGAAGGAAAAAAATGCAGAGAATATCAATTGGAGCTGTGAGACGCGCTGCCTCTGCTACGTGAGAGCCAGAGGGACCACGGCGCTTGGTTGATTTGCATGGGCGAGGCAAGAATGGGCGAGGCAGGAATGGGCGAGGCAGGAGAGCCGAAGCAGGCTTCATTTCTTAAGCGCTTACCCACAAGAGTGCCGAACCGATCGCCATCAGTCTTCCCACCACCCTTCCCACCACCCTTCCCACCACCCTTCTTCCCTCCATCCTTCCCGCCCTCCTTCCCTCCATCCTTCCCGCTCTTCTTGTCCTTCGGCGGTGGCGGAAGCGGGTCCGACTGAAACTGCCCCCGCGCCGCACCCGACTCAAAATCAGTGGTCGCGAATGTCGCGTAGTACCCGTCCGGCGTCGCAATAATCGCATCCACCAGCTCCTTCAGTGTCTGCCCGCCGATCGTGGACAGTGTACTCGCTTTAAGCCACGTCCCGTTAGTGGCATAAGTGTACTTCGGAGGAGGCGGGGCGGGCGGTGTGCCCTTGTTCTTCTTGCCCTTGGGCGGGGGAGGCGGCGGACGAGTAAGATTTACCCACGTGGAGGTTTCCCCTGCCGCGACAGTATTATGAACGGCGGTTCCCGCCTCTCCCGCCGCGCCTTGATAGATCGAAGGGGCGAACGGCTCGGCTTCGTCGGAGGCGGAGGTGACGACGCTGTAGAAAACGTTGTAGTCGCCGTCTAACCTGACGGTTTCCGTCATGGTTCACACGAGCGAGCAGAAGGGAGGAATGGAAATGCGCATGTGAGTGGAGTAACGGAAAGCGACCGCTGAATTTATTCAAGGGTTTGGTGGAAGGGGAAAGGCAGCACAGAGGTCCGGGTGGGCGCACATAGCACGAGCGGAAAGTGACCGTTGTGTGGGTGGGTGGAAGGGGGAAGGCAGCACAGAGGTCCGGGTGGGCGCACAGAGCACGAGCGGAAAGTGACCGTTGTGTGGATGGGTGGAACGGGGAAGGCAACACAGAGGTCCGGGTGGGCGCACAGAGCACGAGCGGAAAGTGACCGTTGTGTGGGTGGGTGGAAGGGGGAAGGCAGCATAGAGGTCCGGGTGGGCGCACAGAGCACGAGCGGAAAGTGACCGTTGTGTGGGTGGGTGGAAGGGGGAAGGCAGCATAGAGGTCCGGGTGGGCGCACAGAGCACGAGCGGTTGGGCTTACTCGAAGACGGCGAGGCACCATGTGCAAGGGGAAGACAAGTGGCGAGACTTATCTGACTCGGATGGATGAAGCGACTTACTGGAAGACGGCGAGGCAGACTCGTCAGCAGGAGGAAGACTGAAGACGGAAGGCATCTCAGAGGGACAAGTGGCCGCATCACAGGCGGATGGCATATGGTGTGATGGCCGCACCATACGCAAGTGGGATCAAGTGGCTTACTCGAAGACGGCGAGGCAGACTCGTCCGGTGGCGTTGACGTCGCCCGTCGCCCCAAGCATTTCGGATCCGTTCAGCCGCGCGGCGAGAATCGCTGCGCGGAGACGCGGAGAGGGAGTACGCCGAGAGGAGGGCACGTGGAGGGGAGGGGAGCGGGGGAGCGAAAGGGTGTGGGAGAAGGGCGGAGAGGACAGTGAGCGCGCGAAGGTAGAGGTGTGAGGAGAGGCGAGAAAAGGAGAGAAGCTGGCGTTTTGTTTGTGAAATCCTTTTGAATCTCGTCGATGCGTGTTTCAACTCAACGCGTAAATCCTCGAACGGACAGGCCACACCACCCGCCAAGCGTCTAGACGTTCCCGAGATTCTATCACCCGTCAGATTCCCGGGAGAAATCTCACCCGTCAGATTCCCTGGAGAAATCTCACCCGTCAGATTCCCGAGAGCCTCAGCGTCTTTCGGCTTGGGCAGCAGGCACGGGCCCGCGTCGGGGGGCCCCTTTTTCCCGCCCTTGTCCTTCCCGTCCTTCACAGGGCGTGCCGTCGTGATCGCTGCGCAGCAGATGGAAGAAAACAATCACGCTGAATTGAACGCATGGGTGAGTGATAAATTCAAGGGAATCTACTGACATTCGATGTATTAATGGAATTCGAGTGAGAACTACTATTGTCACTCACCGAAGGATGCTGTGACGACTAGGAGAAAAATCGACAAGCCGAGGTAACGGTGGAGCCCCATCGCGGACCAAAGCCCCTAGCTAGTGAGTCAATTTCTAGAGAATAAGGAAATGGAATGTTGGCTGGGTGATGAGATAGCTAACGAAGTAAATACTTGATACCTCGATCACCTGTCGATAGCTATATATTCTGATCTGGTGGAGGCCGCATATGAGGAGGTTACGAACCAAACCTTTATGGTGCTGAACTTTTAAGCAACGGTACGCAGAGATACACCTCGGTTTCAGGAGATGATTTTGGGGTATGTTCTGTTCAACATGCGCTCTGGAAAACCAGGAGAATGCGTGACGACATTTACATGGACGCAATTGGCGGGTTACCTGGCGGGAAAGGTGACCACAATGCTAGTGACATATTTGGAGGGTACGATAGCGGGCAACCTGCCGAATTTTTTTCTGCAAGCGCCAGCGTGAAATGTAACGAAGGTGGAGGGGGAGGGGAGGAGTGTGGGAGTAGAGTTTCCAACCGTTTTTCCGTGAGTTCTGATACATCAAAAATAACATTGATGTTGATATTTTCGAATTGTCCGGGCAGCCTAATCGAACCGTAATTCTGCAACCTCACACTGCAAAGGCCGCGGATGAATCGCCGCAGGGCACGGAAACTAATCAAAAGGAGAAATTCAGGTGAAACCTCGTGACGCCTTCTCTCACGATTTCTGTTCTCCGCCCCGCCACATGTGCAATAAACCTGGTCAAGGACTTTCTTGACTGCCGTTGTTGGCGCAGGTGGCGCAGCAGGAAAGGGCAGCGGAGGTTGGCGAACGTTTCTATACAGAGGATACCTCGATACGAACACAAAAGCTAGATTAGAAAGAGCGGATGACTTGATTCCAAATAAAACTTCGCTATCTCTTTTCGAAGTCTGTTACTTCGCTTCACATCCAGCTCACAGCGAAGGTGTTCTTCATTGGCTGACAGATTCAGAGAGCACAACCAATCATCCTCCACCTGCTGCTGACAGCCACCTTCGCGCGCCGAGCCGAAGCCGTCAACGTGTCAAAATTGGTAGCAATTTCAGGGCCGGGTTTCCTGTGCAATATCTACGGAGTGACCGTTGGGGTTCCATCAGGCAAGCCCAACAAGCAAGCCACATTTCAGCTTCTCGCTGCCGCTTTACATGTAAAGCTCTCATACACTAGCGTGCCGCTGCTAAGATCCCGCGTTTCTCCCTCCTCAGCTTCCACCCCGCCTCTCTGTTGGTTGCTCGCCGCGCTTCCACCCAAACCGCGCGACTCGACCGGATCCACAGGCTAGTTAGGCTTCATTCGAAGTACTTGTCAAACTCATATGCTATAGTCTGTGTAGGCTGTAGTGGGGTAGCTCATATGGGGTACAACACTTTAGGGTTTCCTACTTGTACTCCTCATGCTGCTCAATGCAATCATTCCTACTGCTAGATTCTAACATGGCATCAGAGCACTAGGTCCGTAGGACCGTTTTTTTTTTCTTCGGGCCCACCTACCGTTGCGGTAACCACGCTACCCCACGTGTTGTCCTGTGCCTGCCTGCCTGCCTTGCCTAGTGACGTGCTGCGCTGCGCGCGCCGTCCTGCAGCCTTCGCGCTGTCTCCTGCTGCCCTAGGCCAGTGCGCCGCCCCTCCAGGCTAGTAGGGCCCACGAGCCGCCCCTGCAGGCCCATCAGGCCCCTGAGCCGCCTCTACAGGCCCGTCAGGCCCCCGAGCCGCCTTTGCAGGCCCGTCAGGCCCCCGAGCCGCTCCTGCAGGTCCGTCAGCCCCCCGAGCCGCCACCTGCAGGTCACTCAGGCCCGCGAGCCGCCCCTGCAGGCCCGTCAGGCCGGCGCGCTGCCCCTGCAGGCCCTCGCCGCCCGCGCGCAGCCTCTGCCCGACCGCGCGCCGCCCCTGCAGGCCCTCGCCGCCCGCGCGCAGCCTCTGCAGGCCAGAGCGCGGCCCTACCAGGTCGCTGACGCGACCCCGTCAGGCCGCGGTCGCGGCCCCGCCTTGCCGCAGTCGCGGCCCCGTCAGGCCGCGGTCGCGGCCCCGCCTTGCCGCAGTCGCGGCCCCGTCAGGCCGCGGTCGCGGCCCCGCCCTGCCGCTGTCGCGGCCCCGTCAGGTCGCGGCCCCGCCCTGCCGCAGTCGCGGCCCCGTCAGGCCGCGGTCGCGGCCCCGCCCTGCCGCTGTCGCGGTCCCGTTAGGTCGCGGCCCCGCCTTGCCGCAGTCGCGGCCCCGCCCTGCCGCTGTCGCGGCCCCGTCAGGCCGCTGTCGCGGCCCCGTCAGGTCGCGGCCCCGCCCTGCCGCTGTCGCGGCCCCAACCTCCCGAGGCCGCGCTCTGCTGCTGACGCGGCCCCGCCCAGACGCCGACGCGGCCGCGCCCTGCTGCTGACGCGGCTCCGCCAGCCCTGCAGCTGACGCGGCCGCGCCCTGCTGCTGACGCGGCCCCGCCCTGACTCCGACGCGGCCCCGCCAGCCCTGCAGTTGCCGCGGCCCCGACCTGCCGCTCGAGCGACCCAGCCCTGCAACTGCCGCGGCCGCGCCCTGCCGCCGACGCGGCCCCGCCTGGACGCTGACGCGGCTCCGACCTACTGCTGACGCGGCCCTACCCTACAACTGCTGCGGCCCTACTCTGCAGCCGCTGTTGCGGCCCCGCCGAGCGCTGGCCCTACTTGCCACTGGTGAGCACCTGCCTTGTTCGAGCGCTGCCGCCTGCCTGCCTGCCTGCCTACCTGCCTGCCTGCTCGCCCCTGCCTGCCTGCTCGCCTGCCTATCTGCCTGCCTGCCTGCCTGCCTGCCGCGCCTGCCCTGGACGCGCTGCGGCTGCTACTACTGCTATTGCTGCTGCTACTGGCGGTGGCCAGATGCAGCTCCAGCGACGTCCACGTGAGTCCCTCACGCCCCAGCAGCTTCGTGAGTGGTACACTAGTTGGGGTTGTCGGGGTGGCCGCGCTGCTACTGCTGTTACTGCTGCTACTGCTGCTACTACTGCTACTGCTGCTACTAGCAGTGGCCAGATGCAGCTCCAGCGACGTCCGCGCGAGTCTCTCACGCCCCAGCAGCTTCGTGAGTGGTACGCTTAGAGTAGAGGGTCTCTGAGTACCGTTTGCTGCCCGTACGTCATTCGCACTGGTGCTCGGACTGGTCAGGCATGCGGGACTCTTAGTCACACACAATCCCGCTGCTTCGCCCGTCTGAGCGACGCCTGGCATACCGAGTTTGGTGACGAGGCTGAGCTCCCCGACTGGGTGGAGCTGCTTGGACAGAGGGTAGATATATTTGCTCTTGACTATGATGCTATCCTCACTGCCATGTATGCATTGCCTACTAGTGCTGACCGTGCCTGTTACCTGTGCGTACCGCCTGACCCAGGTATAGAGCCTGCTGCTCTAGGGGCTAGTGTGTCTCCTGCTCTAGGTACGGGTGAGAGTGTTGCTCCAGGTGCTGGTGAGTCTGCTCTCTCTGGTACTGCGCCTGCTGCGGCCTTTTATACCTTCACACTTGACTCTGGTGCTTCTCGCTCCTTCTTTCGCGACAGCACCACCCTCGCACCGCTCAGTCCGCCGGTTCCAGTCTCCCTGGCAGACCCTTCTGGTGGTCCAGACCGTGCGACCTCCTCCACTGTCCTCCCTTGTCCTGCTGTCCCGTCCGGCACACTGTCGGGTCTTTACCTCCCCTCGTTCTCTACGAACTTGGTGGCGGGGTCTGCGCTCCAGGACGCGGGTGTCCACCAGTTCACCCCTGCCTACGAGCGTGTGACACACTGCACGTGTGCTCAGACGGGTCGTCACCTGGCTACCTTCACTCGGCAGCCGGGGTCGGGCCTGTACACACTGGTCACTGAGTCCCCTCAGGTAGCTGCGTCTGCGTCTGCGTCTGCGTCAGGTCAGTTGTCAGCCCCCTGCTCGTGTCGCGCCTTGTCGCACCAGACCCTCCTTTGGCACCACCGCCTTGGTCACCCCTCGGTGCAGCGCCTTCGCAGCATGCACCGCCGTGTCCTTGTCTCTGGTCTTCCCAGGGTTCTCCCTCCCCTCCCACCCTCGCCTGCTCCTCCCTGTCTCTCCCTGTATCGAGGGGCGGAAGCGCGCCGCTCCTCACTCCTCCTCGTTCCCTCCCACAGAGGCTCCCCTGCAGACTCTCCACCTGGACGTGTGGGGCCCAGCCCGCGTCCGTGGATAGGGCCATGAGCGGTACTTCCTACTGGTCGTCGACGACTACACGCGTTACACCACGGTCTTCCCCTTGCGCACCAAGGGTGAGGTCCCTGATGTTTTGATCCCTTGGATCCGCACTGCTCG